CCCCAAAACCCCAAAACCCCAAAACCCCAAAACCCCAAAACCCCAAAACCCCAAAACCCCAAAACCCCGACTCCTGCAGAAATATTGAGTTTTGAGTAGGGTATATTACAAGCATTCAGATATGGTATTACTAGTGATTACTCCTCTTGAGAACTGAGATTATACCTCAGTTAGTTTTGTCAAGAGGGGTTTTTATGAAGGATAGTATCCCTGTGTGTTGTGTGGTTGGAAAATATTAGCAGCCTGACTACTATATGACTGATATATAGGGGCTATTTCAGGTGGAGATGGATATTCTTCCCCCTTCTTTTTGGCTTGGACTCTACCTTGTCCTCCGCTTTTCTTTTGGATACTCTTGCTCTTTTTATTTGTTTTTACTACCCTTTCCTTTGATTTGTAAGGAAGGGTGAGCTCGAATAAGTTTATTGTATATTTTAGAGCCGAGATCACTTCTTTTCCTAAGTTCTTCCATTTCTGGTTTTATTTTTGAAATTAATATAAGCTTTTCTTCTTTTTCAGCTACAGAGAGTGTCTTTTGAACAACATAATTGCCATACGGATCAAGTAGGAACTGCAAGTAACTCTCAGCTTTGGCCATCTCCTTCACCATGGCATTGATAACTTCTCTCTTATTAATCTGGAGGCATTTTTCAATAACATTTGATGAATATTTCCTTGTATCTGCATTAGTTACTACAGATCAGTTTTAAAGAGAAACTTACCTAATTCTAGAAGAGGTTCTACAAGTTCTTGGCCTATTCTTGAGTTTATCTCAAGATCTTCTCTGTCAAGGATCAACTGGAGGACATAATTAGCATATTTATCTCTGACTAGCTCCTGTGTATGCAGGATGATTTCATCAATAAGTCTTTTCCTTTGTTCATCATTTGCTCCTTCAATGCATTTTTGCATCACTCAGCATCCATGTTTGTGTCAAGCAATTTCTTTACACTGGTCTATCATAGAGTCAAAGATAAACTCATTATTCGGAGCTTTGAAGGTAAATAAAATTTTCTGAATTACATGATTGCCATTAATATCCTTTACTAGATCTTGAACATAGTCTTTGAGAAGGTTTATGATCAACTCTATAAGTTCTGAACTTTTTGCACACTCTATTATCTTCTGAATTGCTCTCGTGCCATGAGCATTTCAGCAGATTTGATACACATCTTCTTCAATTATTTCAATAATAGATCTGAGCTTGTCTTCGTCAACAGCTTCGGTGATTTTCTGGCAAAGATAGTTACCAAAAGGGTTGTTCATCAGCTCAACAAATTTTGGAAGAATCTTGTCATATATTTCTTCAACAGATTTCATTGAGCCGTCTGTTATTTTCTTCTGTAAAAGCCGACATCCGGCTTGGTCTTTAGCAAACTCGTATGCTTTCTCAACTAGCTCAGGGGAGTTGACATCATAGCCATTTAGCCCTTCTTCATAATTTGAAAGGGATTTAGCTTCCATATCTTCTCCTTGGGAGACACTCTTCATGTCAAAACTTGAGCGGGAGCTATCAGTCCTCATTTTCATACTCTTTTCAGGGACGCTTTGCCTCATTTGAGCCTGATTGGGATAAGCCTGGGGCTGAAATTGACTATGATGATACCCTTGCCAGTTTTCCTGAAGCATATGGGGGTTATGATGGTTGTATCTTTTCATTTGATGTGGATCAACATAAGTTCTCCTATTCACATCTGGAGAATATGTGTCCCTTTCGTAAGGAGAATAGCCAAGGTGATTTACAAAAGGAGTTCCGTGCATATTCTGATGATGCATATTTGGGTGCATTTGCTGCGGAGCTCCTCCATTGTTGTAGCCTTGGATCCTCGAACTATCATTATATTTCATACTATGGCTATAGGATCTCTGAAAATTAGCTCCCATAATTGGAGTTTCATCCTCAGTCCGATTAAGTTGAAGAGAGAATCCGCAATTGTCCTGGTCTTCGTAATCAAAATCTTGGGTTTTTGCTGGAGGTGGTTGGTTTGAACAAAAGGTTCCACTTCTCATACTTCTCAACGATGGGCTATTCAAAGGGTTCATTCTTTTTGGTGAGGGGGATAAATGAGTTGCCTGGTAATTAGCAGGGCGATATGGAGCGCAAAGTTTCTTCCCTCTTAAACTATTCCTTAACGAATTCATCGGAGAGCTTCCTTTACTAGCTTTTGAAGTAATTTCTTCAGAGCCACTTTCAGTCGTATTTTGATCTTTAACCTTTTCAATTTGTTCTTCAACCTGCTTATAGAAATTGTCGGTCTCGAGCATATCGAGAGTGCTTGATTTCCTTCTTGCTCTACCTGGCTTTCCTGTTTTCTTTAATTTTATAACATTCGTTGAGTCTTCATCTTGATCTTTAGGAGTACTTTGTTCTTCTATATCCTGATTTGAACTCGGCTTAAAAATCTCTGTAACTTCTTGGCCACCTTTATTCTCCTCATCTAGCGCCTGCATTGAGTAGTCTTGGGTGAATCCAAATCTGGAGGAAAAGTCATCAGCAGGCTTTGGAAGAGGTCTTCTCATGAGAGGAGACCCAGCATTCAATCTTTTAGGCGATAGGGAAGAATGCATGGCAGTTTCTCCATACCCTTTTTGACCATGAAACATATTTGTAGGCTGCACTTTAGGAGTATTATATATAAATTGATCATTATTGTGCTGAGAAGAAATATTTGGAGCATATTGTGGTGGAGCCATTACCGGTGCTTGGTAATGACCACCTTCATTCTCTCCATACTGGTAACTATAACCTTCAAAATTTTGGTTCATCGGAGCAGAGACAGGCATCATATTATTCATCATTTGACTCGATTGCCCCATATATTGAGGATTAAACCCTGGCGGAGGTCGATGGTAAGAGTTTTCCATAGGTTTGACAAATTGGTGAGGGTATGCTCCATGGCCGTCACTCATTTGATAACTAGAGTAATCAGGTGCTGCATAATTATACTGGTCGGCATCACCCTCAAAGTTGTCGGGAGGTTGTGGCTCCATATTCTTGATAAGTTTAATAATATATTATCTTGCCAAGCATTGATATTTAAACATTTTGATAATTCAGCATTCATCCAAATTAAGGGGTTTTGGGGTTTTGGGGTTTTGGGGTTTTGGGGTTTTGGGG